AATGCTTTGACTTGGTCTTAGTCACTGTATTTCAAATTTCAGATTAAAATATTGGGGAAGGCAGGTTATCATGAGTTTTAAAAGGTTGACAAATACTGGTTGAGTTTTTTTTCTGAGACATGTCTTGAGCAGTGATTAACTGGCTTTGGCTAGTATTAATGACTTTTGTTCTTCTGATAAAGCTAATATTGTAAAATCTATGTGTTGCTAGTTAATGAAGATGCTGTTTGAGTGCCCTGATGAACGTGTTGATTTGGAGCTCATTTCCTTTTGCATTAATCTGGCTGCAAACAAGAGAAATGTGCAACTTATTTGTGAAGGTGCGTTGAACAGTAACAGGTAACTGCATAGCCAAGACAAACATAGTAAATGGAAATGAAATTTGGCTGTATTAAATTGTGCTTTCCTGTGACCACCCCCACTTAGAAATCTTGGACCCCCTGAGGTCCTTGAGATACCTTAGGCCTAAGCAGTTTAAGGCTTTATAGGTTGGAGTCAGCACTTTGAACTGGGCCTAGAAATTTGGATGACTTGGATAAAGGAACAGAGCAGATGGTCATCAGATTTAAAGATGACACCAAACTGGAAGAGATAGAAGAGGAATATGTAAGACAGATTCAGGATTCAAGATTACTTTAACACTGGGGTCCCCAACCCCCAGTCTGCGGCCCAGTACCGGTCCGTGGCCTTGGCAGGACCAGGCCGCGAAGGCAGATCTCCTGGGCCCCTGCATGCACTCCTCTCCACATGCACAGCCCACTCATGCACGCACTCTCACACGTGTGTCCCGCCCACCCACAAGCACGCCCCACCCATGCGTGCGAGCACGCCCTGCCCACCTGTGTGAGATGTGTGCCCCCAAAGCAGGGACTCCCCGCCCCAACCGGTCCACGGTTTCGAAAAGGTTGGGGACCACTGCTTTAACATTAGAACTGGGTCAGAGCTCTCAAAAGGCCTTTCAGCCTTGGGGCAGAAAAATCAGATACACAAGTGTAGGATGGGATACAGCTCATTTGGGAGTAGTACATACAAAAAAGATGTAAGAATCTTAGTAGACCACGATCTAAATGTGAATATCAGTGTGATGCAGCAGCCAAAAAAAAAAGTCAGTGCAGTTTTAGGCTGCATCAACATAAATTTAGTGCCAGTATCAAAGGGAATACTGTGTCCAGTTCTGTGCACCATAGTTTAAATAACATGCCAAGTTGGAAAATGTACAGGTAAGGGTGACCAAGATAGTAAAGGGTCTGGGAACTAAGCTCTATATCGGGAGATGACTATATTTAGCCTGGAGAAGTGAAGAATGAGAGGTGATATGGTAACCACCCTTAAACATTTGAAGGACTGTAAGATCAAAGTGCAGCAGTGGTGTAGAGGACCATTTTGGAAGGTGGTAGACTCCAACTTTATTAGACATTTTTGAACAAATATTTGTTGGATATCTGCCAGGATTTCTTTACCTGTGGATTTCCTACATTACCATGTTTCCCTGAAAATAAGACAGGGTCTTATATTAATTTTTGCTCCCAAAAATGCATTAAGGCTTATTTTCAGGGTATGTTTTATTGTTTTCATGTACAACAATCTACATTTATTCAAATACAGTCATGCCATCTTTTGGTTGCTGCACAATGCTGCACAATGGCAGAGGGCGGGATTTCACTTAACTGGGGGTTATTTTCGGGGTAGGGCTTATATTATGAGCATCCTGAAAAATCATAATAGGGCTTATTTTCAGGTTAGGGTTTATTTTCAGGGAAACGGTAGCACGTTACTGGACCCAGTTATTCTTCTGCAATTGACTTCTGCAATTCTGTGATTCTGATGTTTTGCTTCTTATTGGCAATAGAAAGAACTTGGAGTTTAAAAAAATGAATATGAGAGAAACTAAAATCGTAGATGGGCATGTTTGTGTATATGTTCTGTTGATTATTCTGTATAGTCTACAAATTGAGTATTGACAGTAAATGGCTACCATATTTTTTCTTTTTCATATAATCACTGTGAATCGTGAGGTATAAAGAGATTGGATTGTTACAACACAAATCATTAGTCGTTTGTACATTTTCTCTCTATTTTTGTTTTGTAATGCATTTTGTTCCTTTCAGGAAATGGACTGAAGATGTTGATGAAGAGAGCACTAAAATTTAAGGACCCATTACTGATGAAAATGATTAGAAACATCTCTCAGCATGATGGACCCACTAAAACTTTATTTATTGTAAGCATTTGTCCCTTATTAATGGTTCTTGTCCTTCAATGATGCCCGGGTTTGTTTTGGGCCAATAAAAATGAAATAAGATAAAGAGCAAAGAACACTTGATTCTTTGTGTTTGGTACTTGCAATTTTCTTCACTGCAAGTGTTTTAATTCTGTTAGACATCCATGGTCTTCTGGAACTTAATAACTCCTCATAAACTAAATCAGTGGTCCCCAACTTTCTTGAGCTGATGGGCACATTTGGATTTTTGGGAGAATACTGTGAACAACTGCATAACATGGCTACTGTTGGAACTTAGTGAGCCACAAGTTAACTGTTCTAGGACGCAAACTGTTGAGCCCAAAATAAATAAATAAACATAAAATTAAAAAAGCCCAAGTACCCAAGGAAAAAAAGCCCATAAGTGAGATGTTGGGGCAAAGGGAAATTGCTGAGTTGCTGCTGGTGATTATTGCATTCCTGCATCTATTTTTGGTGTGTATCACTTTGTCTCATGCAAATCATACACAACCTGAAATCAACAAATTAAAGGCTTTTAAATTAGTGGCATTCTGCCATGGCCAGTGGTATAATTCTCTTTATCTTGCTGGAACTGCACAGTAGGGTAGTGGCTCATAATGTCAGTGTCTAAAAATCAATTTGATACATTATGAACTTTCAGATAATAAGAAACAGCTGTTTCTAAATGTTGTAATTGTGTTTTTTAAATGATATTCCACCCATCTCCTATTATAGGATCCAAGGTGGATCATCATATTGATTGAAAACAGATATTTATTGTATTATTTACTTTAGTTATACCTCACCTTGTTCCCTCTGCAAAGACTGAAAGCAGTGTACAACAACTAAAAAAGTATAGTAATACCTTACATAGAAGTGTCCCATTTAGCACCGATTTGTTAAAGCACACATGCTCAGGACCCTGTTTTGTGGTGCTCAACAGGGGCTTGAGCCTACCTAAAGGAGTTAGACCGGGCCTTCTGGCAAGCTGGAGCCCAGTCTGTTGCTCTGTAGTGGAAGTAAATCAGGCCTCTAGGAGCCCTTAAGCCCACTTTGACTGCACTATACTGGAGATAGACCATGATTCCAGGAGACCTGGGACCCAGCCTGTCCACTGATGTCAGAGGTAAACTGAGCCACTGGAACTCCTGGCATAAACTATAATGTTAAATTGACTATGTTTAGTGCTAATTCAGTTAGCACTTCGTTTTCTTGGAATGTATATTGAGTGCTAAGTAGAATATTATTGTATACATATAGTACAGCTAAAAAACTAGTGGCTGAAATCCTGTTGCACACCTACACATGCATAACTCAAAGAAGTATGGAAAATTGTACTGAGGTGGAAGTGATATTGACTGGTATTCTGCAGGTTGTGCTGCATAACAGTCACATCATGAATCATGTGGCAGTTGCACTGTTTTATTGTGTGATATAGACTGCCTGGACATAATACTGTGCGCAGTTCTTCAGATGTAACTGTTGTGCCAGAGAGATAATACATCCTACCTACAGTAGGATTTCAGCCAGTGAGTTATAGTAACGAAGGACATTTAAATAAGTAACTATATTACATCAAACACTCAATTAAGTTTCAAAAGGGAAAGTCAGTGTGAGAAAGCATCTGTTGTAGAACAAAGGAAGCAGTGGACTTGACAGGAGCCAGTGATACGTGTCCAGAATTTCTACAAACATAGCATTTTCTCCATACCAAGGGAACAGTTGTAACAACTTGGTCTCCATTTACATGGGCAATAACTTCCACATTCTTTAACATCAACTTGCGTCATACTACAATGTCAAATTGTAAATTCTTGTGTGCAACAACATAAAAGAGTTGAAGAATATCAATTATATTTAATTTATATTTTGAAGACAGAGATTATTTATCTTTCTGCATAACAGAGAGACTAGCAGTACTGGCCAAAATCCTCTCCCATCACTTCTGCAAGCATATGTCACAAGCAGTAGGTTGGTTTTGCTCAAAATGGGAGATGGAAAGGCAGTAGTTCTCAGCTCTGTGACTCTTACATGAAGGTACAGTAATACATGTGCTAGGAAACTGATTGCTATGATCTGAAGAACCTGCAAGATAGTAAGGCTGGAACTAGAGATGCTTCCCACTAACATTTGCTATACTTTCAGCCCTACGTTTCTATTGCTAAAGAAGTGTAAGTGAAAGTAATTTTAATGAATTTGTGGCTCTGTGTACACAGTGTCTCCAAAGGATGGTGCCTCAGATATTTCTGGAACTGTAATTTTTGTGTACCCTGATTGTTGGTGGTGTTGGCTAAAGCAGTGGTTCTTAACCTGGGCGATAATGCCACCCAGGGGTGTGCATGAATATATATTTTCTTCCAATTTAATTTAGTTTCAGACTTTTTGTCTTGAAATTTTTAGTTCCTGCATTTGTTTTTATGCCCTTTTTATATTTCTTTTTGCGTCTTAAAATTCACTTGCAACTAAATCATTAAATGTTACTTTTTGGGGGGCATTTCATTTTCTTGGAATTTAATTTTGTTTCCAGGGGTCATTGGATTTAAGTGTCTTAAACAAACAAACAAATAAATAAAAAGATATCACCGCGGGGAGGGGGGCGATGATAACTTCCTCAATGGCTCAAGGGGGCGTTTCTTTCAAAAAGGTTAAGAATCACTGGGCTAAAGCTTCTGAGAGTTCAAAACAGCTCCAGTGCCAAGTATGGGAACTGCTGCTTATAGAGTCAGTCTTTTATAGCAGTTGTGTAAGTGCTTCCTTTTTTGAGGGAGGAACAAGGCACACACTTGTGCTGTTTCCAGAGTGCACAGCAATGATTAGTTATATTTAACAGGTAAAAACTTTGTTAACAGTACTTCTAAAATACAGATTTTAAAACATGAGATTTATTAGTGGCTGTTTGTCCTATTTAGTGAGAGCAAAACAAAAATGAATTTTAACATGTTAAAGTTAACACAATTTATAAGCCCTGGTCTTTTTCTTTTCTTGGAGACAGATGGTGATACTTCACCATGAAGCTCTGGGCTGCTGCGGTACACCATTTTTAATTCTTAAGGCATTCTTGAGAATAAAGGTGATGCCAGAGGCCACTGTGCTTCTTTACAATATACAATACAAATTTTAAGAGATGTCATGCTTTTCCAGATAAGAAAATAATTAAAATAAGTAAATAAGACCCTATAATATAGTCAGCAGTCTAAAATACTGTAGATACACAGCTGAAGCCTTCCAGGTATATTTGCCTATATCTCCCATATTACCATTAGATGTGCAGGCTTGATCTAATACCCGTCACCAACCAGAAATTTCTGAAGGGCTACAACTGCCTATCCCAATCTGAGACACAGTAGGAGTAAAGAAAAACTCCAGTCGCATGCCATATGGAGTAAGAAATTTTTATAGACCCAACGTTTTGGGTCTTCACTGAGCCCTTAGGAAAGGAGTTAGGAAGGAGAACAAAGGACTGCAGTGTCTTATGGTACCCTGATGACTAGTGGCTTTTGTCTGACATAAGATTTTGTAGACTGCTACCTACTAGATGCATGGCATTTAGCCTTAGTTGATAGACATTTATGCACATTCTTGGAAGTGGGAATGTTGGAGAATAAGAACACAAAAAGTATCTGTATAATTGTACTATGAACAAGTCATAAATACAGGCATCGTATTGCAAATCACGAAAACTTTTTTTAGTTATTTAGTTTTGTTCAAGGCAGAAGTTTATTAATAAGTTAAAAAGATTTAAACTTGATTATTTCTGGTTCACATTGTGAATCCCAGCATAAATGAAGCAAATCATGTTCATGATTTTTTTTCATTCAGTTCATTCAGTTTCTTCTTTTGTATATGTGTGATATACAGTATATAAAAATTCCTTCTTTCTTTGTTTAGGATTATGTAGGTGATCTAGCTGCTCAGATATCTAATGAAGAAGAAGAGGAATTTGTGATAGAATGCTTAGGAACCCTGGCAAATCTCACCTTGCCTGATTTGGATTGGGAACTTGTGCTGAAAGAATACAAACTGGTACCATATCTCAAAGATAAATTAAAGCCAGGTCTGTATAATTTATAATTTGGCTTCAGGGAATTCTTTGTTAATGACCAGCATAGTAATTAGTATGTTAACTGACATTGGCTTTCTTTCCAGTTCTAGTTGTTGGTTTGGAGATTGTGCCAAGTAATAATTTTGCTAACTTTCATAGATGGACTAAAATTTCAAATGATCATTTAGATGCAGTTATTTCACCATCAGGAGTGATAAGAGTCTCAAGATGTTAAAAGCAATTGCTTTTTCAGCATCTTGAAACTCTATGTGCTTCTTGTTGGGTTACCTACCTTGCATGTTTCCCATATCTTTTAGTTAATGTTATTTCTTTGGCCAGAAACAGGCTTTAGAGTTAGTTTATGACTAGAATGGGAAGATTCAAAACTGAAATGAGTCTCTGAATATCACAACAAGAACTCTCTCACCTCTGGGATTATTCAGATTAGCTTGCTTCATTTGGTGATTGTTCTTCAGAACTGAAGCACAGGTTTCTTTTGAAAATCTGATTTTACAAATGGGGAGGACTACCTCAGTCAACTTTCTGCAACATGCTTTCAGCTCTAATTTTGGGCTATTTCTAGTGGCTGTTTCTGGCTTCAGTTGAAGAATCAAACATTTCAGGCAAGATTACATGAGAGAGTTTTTCATCCTTATATCTAAAGATGAAGTCCCCCTATGAACATTGCACCTTTTCTTGGTCTCATTTCTCACAGGCAGGTCTGGTAGAGAAAAAACAGAGGGCTGTTCTTAGGTTATGGATTTTCCACAGGAACCTAGGTTGCCTCTCTTTCTCTTATCTTATCTCTTATCCAGTAGGCAAATACAAGTTTTAACTGTGGTACAGTGGCGCCTCGCTAGACGATGTTAATCTGTTCCATTGAAATCGCTGTCTTGTGAAAACATTGTCTAGTGAAAAGCGTTTCCCCATTGGAATGCATTGAAACCCATTTAATGTGTTGCAATGGGGAAAATAAAAATAGTCGTCGTCCAGTGAAAATCACCCATAGGGAAGCCATTTTGTGAAGTGCCAATGAACTGTAAAAATCGCTGTCTTATGAAGCATCGGTCCCGAAAACACCCGTTTTACGAAGATCGCCCATAGGGAAGCCATTTTGCGAAGCTGCCGATCATCTGTAAAAATCGTTGTCTTGTGAAAAAACAGTCTGTGAAGCATGGACCAAATCATTGTCCAGCGAAATCCCCCAAGGAAAAAACCGTTTTGCGAATCACTATAGCGATCGCAAAAAGTCAACATCTAGCAAAAAAACAATTTTGCGGGGGAATCGTCTTGTGAGGTACCACTGTACTGTATTTTCTCTTTTTCTGATGTGCTTTTAAATGTATTGTTTTAAGCTAATGATAGATAGCGTAATATGTTTAACTTAAGTTATACTACACTTTAATGTGAATTTACCTATATTTTTCCCTTTAAACATTTTGTAAGTTGACTGGGCTCTCAGCATTGGGAGAAAGATGGAATATAAATTCATTAAATAAATAATGAAATATTCAATTGCTTGAAAAAAAAACACCACACCACCTTTCTAGAAGAGTAATAATATATTTTGTAAGACAATCACATATTTTATATGATATCTAATATCTTTTGTGCTAACTGTGAATATATGCTTTTACATCTATAAGCTATGAAGTTCAGTTTTTCTATGACTAGTCAACAGTTCTTGCACTGATACTCTTTATAGCCAGACATCCCTAGAGAATTGTATGCACATACAAATGTTGTTATTTTTTTTCTGATGGGAGCACTTTACATTTTATGTAGTACCATTTTAGAGGGTCTCCTAAACTTTGGCAGCAGCTTTGTAGATAATAAAAGGTTTATTGTAGGAAATGTTACTATACATTCTCTGGGTCTAGGTTTCTGTCTTTATTTAAATCACGAAACCTAGCATATTGTACTAACTTCAAGTGGAGTAATAACCAAAATAAGGGCTTTGGGTCATACAGGCGTCTTTCCTGTTCCCACAGAACAATTACCCTAAGTTTGAATCATTGCAAGTGGTGGAGCGAGGCTGTGCCTGTTGGTTATGGGGAAAAAATCTTAAAGGACATATGTATCTTACAATGTCCATCTTGACTTAGTGAGTCTCAAATCAATGGTTGGCTCAGACAATCTGTGACATAGCCACAAAGTCAGGTTTTATATAAGGATGGACAATAACTGATGTGAATATTATGCTCGGTAAACATATTTTATTGAGGTTAAAGGTGGAGCCAAGATGTCATAAAATCATGCTTGATACTGTGATTTAACAATTCATAGAAAAAGAAAAAAGAAAAGCTAAAGTTTGCTGCAGTTCACAATGAAAGACTCTTTCAAGGTCTTCCAGCAAAGAGGTTTGTGTTACAAAGGGATTCAGCAAAGCAAACTCTATTCTCTTTATCAGGTTCAGCAGAAGATGATCTTGTCTTGGAAGTGGTAATAATGATTGGAACAGTATCCATGGATGACTCCTGCGCAGCACTGCTGGCTAAATCTGGAATTATTCCGGCACTTATTGAACTGCTAAATGGTATGTATAGCAATATGTCTTGCATGGTTCACACAATTCTTCTGTAAGTACTTCATTTTAAGATGAAACCATTTTGAATGTTTATTATTATAAATTAGAATTAGCTTCTTCCCTGATTGTTATTAATGCCAAAATTAAGCAAGAGTGTGCCAGAAATGAAGTTTTGCATCCAACTTTAGAATGTTTGATGCCCCACCCAATTCTTACATAAATCCCTGTAATTTTATCAAATAGAGCAATTTAACACTGTTATTTTTAATGGAAACTCTAATAGGAGGAGACATTAAAGCTGGTGTTAATATTCAAAGGACTGGACCTTAAAATGCAAACTGGCCATTCTTCCCTTGTTCAAACTGGCCAGCCCCAGTTCAAAATGAGTCTAGTTTTCTTGAGGCTGGAATGACTAGAATTGAGACTTGTACTCTGCTTCTGTTATAACCATGTGCAGTCTCTTAGCCTGCCTCCAAGTCAGACAATCTGAGAATGTGAGAGGAATTTGCAGGTTTTGACAGATTCCCAGGGCTTCTCTTTGGCCGTAAAATTACATCCAGGGCATCATTTGCAGAAGATACCATAATTTATTTTCCTGCCTTATGATCCATGGTTACATATGGTGTCCTGGAAAGGACTCTGGCCTCTCTTGTTTGAAATATTATATCTTCTTATTTCTTATTTGCTCCAGTAGCCAGCAGATATTTGCAATATGCTCTCAAGTGTCTCTTTTCAAAATCCAGCTTGAACACCAAGCATTTCTTGTTCCATATAGGATGATAATGTTTGTGGCAACACCATAAGCTTCACTTTGCTTTGAGAAATTAAAGCAGTGGTCCTGTAATTACTGCACTCCTTTGGCATCTCCTTTCTTAGGGACTGGAATGCATATTGAGCATATTGAGTCTGTAGGACATTTACTCCTTTTGTCCCTTCTATATACTGTTTCCACTTTCTCTTTGTTTTCTCCTGGTCATATACTGTGCATTCCTGTTGATGATAAAAACATTCCTAATCTAGGCTTGAATTTCCCTTTGATTTCTTGGATTTTCTGGAAGAGATCTCTTGTTTTTCCCTTTGTTGTCTTTCTCTGTTTCTTTGCGCTGGTTGTAATGGTTCTCTTTGTCTGTATGTGATAGTTGCTGAAAAATTGCATTCAGGGTTCTAACCCTATCTTTATCACCCTTTATTTTTGCTTCTTGTTTGTCCTTTGCATTTTAAAGTTTTCTTCCATCATCCTTTTAGATTTTTCTTTCCTTTTTACTACTTTTACTTTCCTGCAAACATGGAATGGAAGAAGAAAATAGGGTTCCACATTTCTTCTATAAAGACCTTTTCATTTCTATACATAACCTGGATGGAAATGAAGTTATTTTGGGGGAGGAGAAGGATGTACTGAGATGAAATTGTTGCTGTAACTGAAAAAATAGGTTCTTAAATGTTTAGTGACCAAGTCCATAACTTGGGCATTCTTCTTGACCCGGCTTTTTCTGGGAAGGCCCAGATTGCAGCTGTGTCCAGGTCAGCTTTTAACCAGTTTAAGCTAATTGCTCAGCTTTGCACCTACCTAGACAAGGACTCCATCAGGACTTTAGTGCAGGCCCTAGTCATCTTCTGGATTGACTATTGCAATGTTCTCTACATGGGGCTTCTTTTGAGCCTGATCCAGAGACTTCAGCGGGTCCAGAATGTGGCAGCCAGACTGGTGGTGGGTGTGAGTAAATTTGACTGCCTCACTCTGCTTCTGGCTCGCCTCCACTGGTTGCCCATTGCATCCTAGATCAGGTTCAGGGTTTTGACACTTACATACAAAGCTGTCCACAGTTTGGGCCCATGTTACTTGTTGGAGTGTCTTTCCTTAATGTCATCTGCCCGATCCACAAGATCATCCCAGTCGAGGCTCCTCCGGGTGGCCACCCCAAGGGAGGCGCATAAATCCTCTACAAGAGGTAGGGCTTCTTCACAGTGCCTCAAACTTTATGGAGCCAGCTTCTGGAGGAGATCTGTCTATCCCCCTCCCTATTTGACATTTGAGAAGCAATTAAAGACATTGCTTTTCAGGGAGGGTTTCCACACTGACCCTAGCTGGCCATTCCCCTTACCTTTCCTTCATCCACTCTGGTTTTGTATGCTTAGTGTGTGCCATCTGTTTTTAGGGTTACTTTTGTTGCTTTTAATGTTTTTATCTTTATTTTTGTTCTGTATCATGCATGTTGTAACCGCCCAGAGTAGCCCCTTGGCACTAATGGGAGCGGGATACAAATTAAATGAATGAATGAATGAATGAATACTTGTAAGTGGGACTTCAAACTTTGACAGAAACAATTATTTTCTTTCCTTTTTCTTTTTTCTTTTGTACAGCTCAACAGGAGGATGATGAATTTGTGTGTCAGATCATTTATGTGTTTTACCAAATGGTTTTTCATCAAGCCACTAGAGATGTCATCATCAAGGAGACACGTATCCTTTTCTGGACTAAATATTTATTGTTATAGCAATTAATTTTTTTCTGCTGAATATACAGTGGTGCCTCGCTTTACGAGGGCCTCGTATAGCGATGAATTCGCATAGCGATGACCATTTAATGCGTTCCAATGGCTTTTTTTGATCAGTACAGCGATGTTTTCACATAGCGAAGATTAATCCGGAACGGATTAACCTCGCTATGCGAGGCACCACTGTATATCATTTTGTGTTCCAGTGAAACATCAGCATTGGCATATAGATTTCAAAAGTTCAGTTTAAAAAAATGCTTTGAATTTGTATGTTGTTGTTGTTGTTTAGTTATTTAGTCGTGTCTGATTCTTCGTGACCCCATGGACCAGAGCACGCTAGGCCCTCCTGTCTTCAGGAGTATACTATTTAAAATAAAGAGGAATCCGAATATTTTTTGTAATTATTAAAAAATCACAAAGTAGTTTTAGTCTCTTTTTGACACATAGCTGAAACTGGTATATGTGTAGCATTTAATTGGCTGTTCAGAAAAGCTTGTCAGTGGCAAGTGAGGAGCTAGTTCTTTCTTTGCGGAGTTGATGTCATCTTCCTTCTAGTACTCATGTTCCTTTCCAGAGAATTTGACAAATAGCATGACGATCCTAAGAACACTACTAAAACAAAAAGTCCATTTTTGTATTGTGTTTCAGAGCTCAGCACATTCCACCAGAATTGGTAAATTAAAGCTATGATTATTTCAGCAGTTTTTCTATTTCTTGTGGAGGTAGTTTTTGCAGAAACTTTCATAGCCCCTCAATCTCCTACCGGCATGCATCACATTTTTTAGCTCTCACTGTAAAGACAGTGGTAGCTCTCAACCAGATCCATCACATACTTTTAGAGATCAGTTCGTATCATGCCACACCACTTTGGTATCACCTTTTGATGAAATAGCCTTGCCTATTCACCATGCCATTGTACGACCTGCATCTCTGGAAATACAGGCTTTTATGCCCACACAAATGACAAATATCACCACTTCAGAGATACCTGCTTCCACCTCAGTCTCCATGATCTGATTCCAAGGAGGTGGCTCCAACTGAATTCCATAGAACAGACTCACCATCCCCATCTCCAGATGTGTTGTCCCTAGACCTAGCAATGAGAGGTGCTATGCCATTGTCACTGTTGGAAGACCTAAGATCATATGCTGACTGAGTGCTTCTTGTGGACCAATCCCTCAGCATAGAAATAAAAGGTCCTCTGACTATTGATGAACCACTCTTGGCAAGGATCCATCATTAAATGTCGAAAGGAAAGTGAAAGGAAAGTCCGATGCTGCAAAGAAAAATACTGCGTAGGAACCTGGAATGTAAGCTCTATGAACCTTGGTAAGCTGGATGTGATCAAACGGGAGATGGCAAAAATGAACATTGACATCTTAGGCGTCAGTGAACTAAAATGGACGGGAATGGGTGAATTCAATTCAGACGATTATCATATCTACTATTATGGGCAAGAATTCCGCAGAAGAAAAAGAGTAGCTCTCATAGTCAACAAAAGAGTGGGAAAAGCTGTACTGGGATATAATCTCAAAAATGATAGAATGAATGCAATACGAATCCAAGGCAGACCTTTCAGCATCAGAGTAATCCAAATTTATGTACCAACCACTGATGCTGAAGAGGTTGAAACTGACCAATTCTATGAAGACTTACAACACCTTCTAGAACTGACAGCAAAGATGTTCTTGTCATTAGAGGGGACTGGAATGCTAAAGTAGGGAGCCAAGAGATCAAAGGAACAAGAGGTAAGTTTGGCCTTGGAGTTCAAAATGAAGCAGGCCAAAGGCTAATAGAGTTCTATCAAAGAGAAGAAGCTGGTCATCACACTCTTTTCCAATAACACAAGAGGTGACTCTACACATGGACATCACCAGATGGGCAATACCGAAATCAGACTGATTATGTTCTCTGCAGC